ATCAACTTCAACTCCTGGAACATCTCATATGGTCTGTGACGTTCAAAACGTCTTTGAAGTCCCGATTCTAAGTCGTAAAGCATGGCACACTAAACTGACGAGTAGTCATCGACACGCGACTGCCAAGCATTCACAATGTCTGCAGTTGCTAGGGCAGGTGGTACTCCTAGCGGTGCATCAAGGACATAATTCTTTTGTGTAGCAATGAGGATAATCCTCAAGTTACGGACCTAGTCCGTGTAGTTGCTACCATCATCTTTCACCTTATCTTTCTCTAGGAACGCATTAAAATTCAAGGGAACGGTAGCACGGGCCATTGATCTATAATATAGATATGCAAAAACTATCAGGACTAAGTTCATGATAAATTAAGTTCAATTAATCATATTACTAGGAACTCCCACTTAGATAGACATCCCCCATGTCATCTAAATGATACGTGATCCAAATCAACTAAACCATGTCCGATCATCACGTGAGATGGAGTAGTTTGCAATGGTGAACATCTCTATGTTGATCATATCTACTATATGATTCACGTTTGACCTTTCGGTCTCCAGTGTTCCGAGGCCATATTTGTATATGCTAGGCTCGTCAAGTTTAACCCGAGTATTCCGCATGTGCAAAACTGGCTTGCACCCGTTGTATTTGAACCTAGAGCCTATCACACCCGATCATCACACGGTGTCTCAGCACGAAGAACTTTCGCAATGGTGCATACCCGGGGAGAGCACTTATACCTTGAAATTTTAGTAAGGGAACATCTTATAATGCTACCGCCGTACTAAGCAAAATAAGATGCATAAAGATAAACATCACATGCAATCAAAATATGTGACATGATATGGCCATCATCATCTTGTGCTCATGATCCCCATCATCGAAGCAACGTCATAATCTCCATCGTCACTGGCTTGACACCTTGATCTCCATAGTAGCGTCGTTGTCGTCTCGCCAACTATTGCCTCTACGACTATCGCTACCGCTTAGTGATAGCGTAAAGCAATTACATGGTGTTTGTATTTCATACAATAAAGCGACAACCATATGGCTCCTGCCAGTTGCCGATAACTTTTACAAAAGATGATTATCTCATACAACAACTTATATCACATCATGTTTTGACCATATCAGATCACAACATGCCCTGCAAAAATAAGTTAGATGTCCTCTACTTTGTTTGTTGCAAGTCTTACGTGGCTGTTATGGGCTTCTAGCATCAACCATACAAACCTATGGCATGAAAACCACAACGGTGATTTATCAAATTTGTTGTTTTAACCCTCATAAAGGACCGGCCGAAGCTAAATTCGATTCAGCTAAAGTTGGAGAAAGAGACACCCGCCAGCCACCTTTATGCAAAACTAGTTGCATGTCTGTAGGTGGAACCGGTCTCTTGAACGCGATCATGTAAGGTTGGTCTAGGCCGCTTCATCCAATAATACCACCGAATCAAAATATGACATTGGTGGTAAGTAGTATGACGATCACCAGTCACAACTCTTTGTGTTCTACTCATGCATATCATCTAGACCTGCCTCGGATGCCACTGTTGGGAAACATAGCATGCAAATTCAAAAAAATTCCTACGCCCACGCAAGATCTATCTAGGAGATGCATAGCAACGAGAGGGGGAGAGTGTGTCCACGTACCCTCGTAGACCGAAAGCAGAAGCATTAGCTTAACGCGGTGGATGTAGTCGAACGTCTTCTCGATTCAACCGATCAAGCACCGAACGCATGGCACCTCTGAGTTCTGCACACATTCAGCTCGATGACGTCCCTCGAGCTGTTGATCCAGCAGAGGTTCGAAGGAGTAGATGAGTTCCATCAGCATGATGGCATGGTGACGGTGATGGTGATGTGATCCGTGCAGGGCTTCGCCTAAGCACCACGACAATATGACCGGAGGAGTAAACGGTGGAGGGAGGCTTCCCACACGGCTAAGAGACAATTGTTGTGTTGTCCAAGGGGCGCCCCCCTGTATATAAAGGAGGGAGGGAGAGGAGGCCGGCCAGGGCGCGCCTCAAG